ACTTCGCCTACCCACCCCCCTCATTTCTCGGCAGGCGCGCCAGTTGTAAGCCTTCATCCCACTGCGCGTGTCGCGCGATGGCCTAGTGGCTAACGCGTCTGTTTGCAATTTCGAGGTCTCAGGTTCAACCCCCGGCGGGGTGAATCATTTTTTATTTTTTTCTAGCATTGTTTCTGAACCGGGAAGTGGAACAGACTATTTTGAAGCTTTTTTGAGTATAATGCGATTCAAAAAGTAAAACTAAAAAACTAAAAACCACAATTACTTTATTTACTTTATTTTATTTTACTCTACTATACTATATTTACTTTTCACTATACTACATTAAACTTTCACAATCGGTGCTTCAAGACCACAGAATGAGTAAAATCTTCTAGGACACGCGTTTTCGTTCAGCTGACGTCTTGGACTTCCAGGCACAATGCTCAGACAGTCTTCTCCTTCAGCAATATAATTCGGCTCGGTGGGCGTTCTCCAGTAGTCATCCTCAACAGCAGGTGGGTTCGGAGCCACTTCATTCAACCACTCAAATACACGAACACGAGAACACGGACTTGTTACATCCCGATCAAATCCATCCTCTAAAAACGAGCCCTTCTTCATGCATTGCTTTCGTCGTTTGGCTCCAATCCACGTGTCCAGCGAGGCACCTGCCATTAATTCTGAAATAACAGGGTGAGACCGAGGACTACAACAAAATCCTTACTATCCAAAAAGTCAACTTCCTCTCCTTCAGTGAATGCTGAGAGATGGGCTCCCATGGTTTGACAGTTATCCTCCGCTGAGTCATAGTTTTTCGAACTCTTTACAAACTTATGACACCATCTTTGTCCCGTACTTTTTCGGTCGTATTGAGCAAAGCCAGATGGGCAAGGACCATATCTGTACGTGTTCGTAATACTTTGACAGTATATTGGAGCATAACGGGCGTCGGACATGAGTTCGAGGCCTGGAGATCCTTCGTGACTCAAAACGATAGCAGAACTCCACGTGGCAGCATCACACACCTCCTGGCGTTTCGAGTATTTCCAGCTGGATTGTTCGACGGTTTTAGCAATTGAGCCTCCGCTCTGAAGTATATATTTTTTTTCCCAAAGAAGTTAATCCATTGTTCAAAATGGAGAGCGTTTCCCTTAGACCTGACACAACTACCCAAAAAAAGAATTCTGGCGCGCCTTCAAGATTTCGGTCCTCAAAAAAACTTACAGGTTTAGTCACGATCATATGAAAATCCGCAGCCGCCCGACTAACACATCTCTTATTTTGCCTCTCCGCTTTCTGCGAATTCTTCGAAAACGCTGATGTCCTAACGATCAAACTCCGATCATTCTTATTGACTTCTTTGACTTTGTTCATGAATTCTCTCGTTGGGAATGCCGACTGAGCCATTCCACCAGGTACAAATGGCCTCATGACCCTTTCGCAATATTTGTTATCCGCCGTATTATCATTCTCGTTTCGATTCAGACTACTAGCAGTTCTCACGTAGGATCCTTCGGATGTTCGGACCGTTGGGTAGTAGATTTGACCGTATTTTTCCAAGAGCCAATTGCTTTCCGACTGAGTCATCTCCGGAGTGTATTCACATAAAACCATCGCTTTTGTGGATTTATCCACTCGGGCAAGGGCAATATTGGGTAGGCTGTACGGGTATCCATCGTTTGCGATCAGTAGATTTCCATCAGGAACATCGTAGATCAAATTTCCAGTTATCGCTTCACTCGCATCGATCCAATATTGGTAGACAGCCGTGTAGTACTCTGAAACTCTTACAGAATGCAAATGCGCTCCAACTCAAAATACCTGCGATCCTAAACGGAAGCGCTTCTCTGTGCATAAATCCGATTTTCGATCCTTTTCTCTCCTTCTCACACCTCTGCTTTCCCTCATCCTTCGTCATCATCTGCTTCACCATTCTGTAACATCTTCCGAACATTTGTACCCAACCAGAGTGACAAATCAACGTGGCTTCCGCCCGACATTCGGTTGTTGGACTTCCCGGGACAGCTGTGATAATGTGATAGGGGACGTATTCTTCGCAGTAGGTTCTGGCGGATTCCTGAAGAATTTGCTGTCTACTTGGCGTCTAACTCCTAAAATACTTCCTAGAAAAAAAGCAAAAAAGAAATAATCCCGGTGGGGGTTGAACCCCGGACCTGAAAATGAAAAACGGCAGCGTAAGCCACTAGGCCATGGCGCGACGCAGCAAAAGAGAACAAGAAGGCATACAGAACACTGCGCGACCTGGTAAGGGGGGGGGGAGGCGGAAGGTCCCCTCTAGTTGAAAAGAAAACAAACTATGCGTGGCCTAGTGGTTAACACTCCCGTTTTCCAATCTCGAGGGGTAGGTTCAACCCCCACCGGGGTTAAATCATTTTTGCTTTTTTTGGGGAGCGTCTGCAAACGATACCACTTCGGATTGACGTTTTCTACAGTTATCCTTGAGAAATCGCATGGTCTCGCCGCGGAGAAGCGTGGCACCTTTAAGGTAACATCCCATCCAAAAAAACTAACCTCAGTCTCAGTTGCCATTGGAAACTTGAACGTGCACTTGTCGCCTTCCATCGCCTATAAGAAAAAATTAATAAAAATTCTGTAAATTTCCGTCATGGTGTCAGCTGAAGGTGTTTGCACACTCACATCATACCCCTCCCTCTGTTTGTACGTATCTGCTCCGCCCCAGAACGTGCACATGTCCTTAAAACTCCAGTCACGGTCGACGGCAGCATTGGTGGTGGAGATTTGAAGGAGGAGAAGAAGTGAGATGAGAAGATTCATCGAGTTTTTTCGAACTGATTTGGTTTTGTCGAAAAAAATTGAGTCTAATTTTTTTGGGCTATTTTTTTTTGTTAAAGAAAAACGTGTTCGGGAGGTCAAAAAATAATTTTTTTTTCTACGTTTGAGGAAGGTGAAGGCGGGGATAGGATTTTCCCAAACGAAAAGTGTAATAGAAAAAAAGCAAAAAACATTTGACCCCAGTGGGGTTCGAACCCATGACCTCAAAATTCAAAATCCAGAGCGCTAGCCACTAGGCCACGGCGAGAGGAGGAGAGAAAGGAGGGAAAGGCTTACACGTGGTGGCGCTTGCCTGGAAAAAGAGGGAAAAAGGTCCTGTGGGTCGATCAGCGCCAGCATATGGTCCATCATGACATTCACCTTAAAGGCGCAGCATGGGTCTCGCCACGAACACCGTAAGAAGCTAGGGGAGACTGAAGAATTGCATGCGCCTTTAAACTACGAGCAAATTTGATTTTATGAAAAAAAATAATTTTGTATAATTAAAAAAAAACACAATGGGGCGCATTTGCATTTATAAATTGTAATTGAAAAAGCTATTTTTTCTATAATTATCGATTTTTGTCGAAATTCAATTTTCAAGAAAATCCTATCAAAAAAACTTTATTCAAGAAAAAAATACACATTTAACGATTTTTATGTCGATTTTCTCAAAATTATCGATTTTTCCAAAATCATTAAGATCCATTAAAAACCTTCAATAGAGCCGCCTTCAACATCCTTGCCTCATAGGTAACATTACATTTGACCTTCGACTCCCCAGCTTGCTCAAATAAATCATCGGGCACCGTATAAATATTCCGTCCCGGGACCTCACAACTCGCCAAAAACTGGATGACCTCCATCACCACAGAGTCTCTAATCACCAAAAGATTCTTGGCCATTTGTTCAACAGCGGAGACAATGCACCGTTTCGCGTAGTACCACGTGTCTACACCGAGCTTCTTCTCCGGTGGTTCGAGGGCTTTGACGACACGGGACAGGCCAAATTCGAAGTTTCCCTGAAACGTGTGGTGTTTGCAGACTCGGCGTCAGATTTTACGACAATTTAGGTTTTGAGCCTTAAAGGCGCATGCCTTTTCTCCATAGCCTTACCTTACTACAATACAAACTCCCGATCACCAAACTGATAATCGAATTATGGAAGAATTTCTCATTGGGCTTCAACATCAAAGCATTTTCCTCCTCATTCTCCACAGATTTTAGGATAGATTCGGCTTCCTCGGTTTGATTGGTCATGATATAGCAGACGACCAGGTTGGCTAGAATCATGGCGGGCACTTCGAGGATCTGGAAAAGGGGATGGGTTACTGTAGGAATTTCAAAAAAAAAGAAAAACAAAAAAAATTTGGCCCTCTTGGGTTTGAACCCAGGACCTCCAGATTAGAAAACGAGAGCGTTAGCCACTAGGCCATCGCACGACCCACGGCAGTGGCGGCGCCTGCCGGCGCGCAGAGAGAAAGAGAGCAAGACGCGGCCTAGTGGCTAACGCTCTCGCCTCCTAATCTCGAGGGGTGGGTTCAACCCCCACTGGGCCCAAATATTTTTTTCTTTTTTCCTTTTTTCCACTGAGCTTACCCCATCATCATATTTCTTGGAAACAATCTGCTCATAGAAATTGGCAGCCTCCTTGTACTTCTTCTCTTGCATGAAAATCGTATGTGCCACGTTCAACTTCCACGTGTCGTGCTCCTTACAATAGTCCACAGAGTTTCTGTAAAGAGACGCAGAGAAAACATAGTGTCTAGCTGTCTGCGCTCTCCTTACCTAAACAACTTCTCCACAGCCTGATAGTCTCTCTTATCCCAATAATGCTTTGCATAAGTCATCAAAACTGGCAGATACATCTCCAAAGAATCGTCATAAGTCTCAATTAAATTCCTCATTTCCAGCGATTCATCTGTTGGATTTTGGCTCTGCTCCTTGCGAATTTGAATTGCCAGCGCCGTTTTCCTAAGCCGCTCCAGACACTCTTTCTCGAGTTTTTCCAGTTTTTTCAGGCTTTCCTGAGGATTTGTGGGCATATAGATAAGGGCTTCGAGCAGGTTGAACTGGTACTGCAAAAAAAAAACAAAAATTGATGCAACTGCGCTCCATTGGATCTACCTCATTCAAACAATAAAAAGTGTGACTCGGATTCTCGGCCAGAACATCAGCCGCCAATCCGAAATAGTCATTTTTGCAGTATAGGAACAGAAGATTCGCAAAGGTTTCCTGTGGGAATGGGTTGATTCCGAGCAGGAATTGAAGTTTGGCAGAACTGTCGCCGAAGTCCGTGTTGGCGTTGCAGATGGCCTGGAAAAACGATTTGGGGGTCAGCCAGGGATGTTAAGTCTACAGGAAAAAAAGCAAAAAAGATTTTACCCCAGTGGGGGGTTGAACCCACGACCTCAAAAATGAAAAACATCAGCGTTAGCCACTAGGCCATCGCGCGACACACGACAAGGGGGAGGGAAGGCTTACAGCTGGCGCGCCTGCCGAGAAAGAGGGGGGTAGGCGGAAGTAGTAAAAAAACAGTTATCGCGTGGCCTAGTGGTTAACACTCCCGTTTTCTAATCTCGAGGAGTAAGTTCAACCCCCACCGGGGTCAAATTATTTTTGCTTTTTTCCTGGTAAGGTTTTAGTGGTCAGGAAGTAAATCGAACCCTTTTCTGGATCAAAGTTCCTCAGAAAATGGCTGAATTTCTGAAAAAGTTCAAGGCCCAAAGGGTAAAATCTTACTTTTCTACTTTTCTAGACTTTTCTAACCCGTCCCTCAGCTTACCGTATTATGCAAAGTGATCGGATCGGCGTCATGCTCATTTCTCGGCGGCATATCCATCAAACTCTCCTTGGCTGCCTTGTCTGCAAATTTTTGATCTACCTTATCCCTGAAAGAAAAAGCTCACAATCCTTGGTCCTGTAACAAATGGCGAATCTCAAATTGAACGCCTCAATCAGAGCGGATTCGTGAAGTTTTTGTGTGTTTTGGATAAAGTTCACATCGTTTCCTTCGCTTCCAGCGCCGATATTGAATTCTGGAATTCGGAAATACAGATACACCGACACACAGACAGACATACCAGGATGATCCTTGACCCCTCTCTTGATGATTTCCTCAATTAGGGTCAGAGCACTCTCATAGTCCCTCCGGCGATAGTGACAAAGAGCGATGGAGTAGGCTAGACCAGACTGAAAATTTTTTGGAGTACGGTAGTGGCGGTGTCCACGGACTTGACACATCTTACGAAATTTCCTGTTATCTATCGGGGAAGCTTGTTTAAAGGCGCATGCAATTTTTTCGGTCTCTCTCACTTTCCCTTTTTTTCAAATGAACATTTTGGCGCCCTTACACACCCGTCCTTCTGGGTAAAACACACTTTTCTCTGCGTCTCCCCGTGGTTTTTGATCCCTCCTCGTCCCTTCTGTTATCGGTTTCTTCTTCTTCTTCAAACCGCCCCAAATGACACAAATTTATTGCACTTTACTCTTTGTTTTCTCAAACAACTTTGCGAGTTAAGATCCACCAGTTGAAAATAAATTCCCGCCGAAAAACACGGAGCTTACAGTAAGCTAAAAAAAAATTTCTGCAAATTGACGTGACGGTGTTTGCAGATTTTTTTTTGTGTTTTGAGCGCCCCCCCCCCCCCAGGCGCGGCTTTGAAATCCGCAGCTTCCTGTATGCCCTCTTTCCCCTTCTTGCTGCGGTGCATGACGTGGCTCAGTGGCTACGACTGTTATTTTTGAATTTTCATACCCGGGTTCGATACCCACTGGGGTCAAAACTTTTTTACTTTTTTTTTGAAACATTCTAGAGCCTTGGCGAGTTCAATAGAGCGCATTTTCACTAACCTGATACCCCGAAAACTCGGTAGCCTCATTGAACTTCTTCAGGGCATCCTCGTAGTTGCCTTCCTGAAAACAAAAAGCATGCTGCGCCTTTAATTTGGACCCACCTTATAATCAATACAAGCCGTATTAATTAACACTGCTGCATCATCAGTTGGCAACTGGTCCACCAGAATTCTACAATTGACCAGGTCGTCCTCCTGATATTTTATTGCGGCTTCCAACTTGATGCTCTCATTGAGCAGGCTCTCGTCTTGGATCTAAACCAAACTTTGAATGCTCAATTTTTCTTTTGGGTCTCGCCGCGATAACTTTTTACTGTGGTTTTTAGAATTTTACCGTAAGAAGCTTTTCGCGACGAGCCCCATGAAAATTACCATTGAAACCACTGCTAGGGCATCGGCAGGTCTGAAAGCGTTATACAAGGACTGAGCATGATAAAGCCGGTATTGGGATTGGTTAGGGAAATTGTAGGAGAGTTGAGAGTAGCAGTCGGCTGCATTCATAAAGTCCTGAGTGTAGTAGTAGCAGTAGGCAAGGAGGGAGAGGGCGGCGAGGTTCTGAAAATATGAGGACACAGTCTAGACGTTCATTTTGATGCAGTCTGCTTATTTGATGCTCCGAAATTGAGAATGGTGAAAATGCGCTCTACTGAACTGATTTTTAAAAAATTTGGCGCGGTGCCGATTTTTTCAAACTTTTATTTATTTTTTGTTTCTTTTTCCCTAGAAACTGAATAGACGAGCTTTCATGTATTCAATTTGCTTTGACTAAAAAATTCAATTTTTTCTGCAAACACCGCCACGTCAATTCGCAGAAGTTTTGTAGATTACTGTAACTTTTTTTAAAAACATTTCGTATCAAATCATTTCGATACTCAGCAGAATGCTAATTTTTTGTGGCAATCCAAGTTTTTAGATGGTTTTGTGTGAAGAAAAAAAATTAATTCTTCAAAAAAATTTTTTTTCTGATTACTAATTTCTTAAAATCGATTTTTCGCAATTTTTACACATGAAAACTTTTTGAAAAATTATTTTTTCATTTTTCCTTTTCATTCCTGTCCCAAAAACACTATTCCCTCATCTATTTTTCCTTCCAGCCGTCTGTCACTAAATCCGCCATCAGACCCGCCAATTTTACCCGCAAAATTCGGAAAGTGCGCTCTACCGCACCATTCAAAAAACTCATCGAATTCGGTCTGTTTTTTGTCGTTTTTTCGCTAATTTTGGTCGATTTTTCAAGTTTTTTTCTTTTTAAAGTGTTGCTGGTTATCAATTCTATCAAAAAATCAGTCAAAATCAACCTGATTTTTATTTTGTGAGCAAAAATCTGGTCAGAAACTAAAAAGTTCAGAAATTCTGAGTTTTATTTGATTAGAATTGGTTTCTCTGTCTTCAAAGTGCATTTTCAATCGTCTACAAGCTTTTCCAAGCTCAAAAAGTTGTGTAGAATCAATAAATTTTGAGAAAAGACGCAAAAAATCAGCAAAATCGGCATTTTTTTCAAATTTTTCGTCGAATTTTGAGCTATTTTCCTTTAAAAGCCCTTATTTTTCATTAAAAATATCAGTTTCTCGCATTAAAAGCTGCTATTTTCTTGGCGAAATTCGTTTTTTTTTAAACTCACCTTCGGATTTCTTTCGTGCTGATATTGAAGAATGCGAATTGCATCGTTGAATTTGTGCTCGTGGATCTGAATTTTTCGGATTTTTTTTCTAAATTTTTGCTGGGAATTCGCTATTTTCAACATAATTTATCCAACTCCACTTTCCTGATATTTTTAGAATTTCGGCAAAATTTTCAAAAAAAAATTTGACGCTTCTCTTCAATTTACAAAGTAATTCACTCACCAATCCATAGATTGTACTTGTAAACTCTCCTTCTTTAATATTCAGAAGGGCGTTCATTCTTTTAGAAGCAAAAATAGAAATAATATAAGCGAAGCCACTCTGTCCAGTTGGCTATGCGCGGATATCCATGGCAACGGGAGCATGCGGGAAAATAGAATGGGAGACGTGGAGTTTTAGTAAAGCTAGGAGCAGGAGTAGAAAGAGAAAAGAGAGCTAAATGGAACATGGGAAATGAGGGGAATCGGAAACTTATTCAATCGAAAAAGTCGATGTTCGCAATTCTTCTTCGAGTGGTTTTCCGCAATTTAGAAAATTTCTAGTTTTTTTTTTGCAGGTTCGGCCCTGGATAGATTCCTAGATAGTGAATTTAAAGTTTTTGGCCTAAAAATAAGACTCACATCCCTAGATCTCGATTTTCCACTTGGTTCTTGCTTTTCGCTACTGATTTTTCGGTTCATGTAAATTCTGAAGGTGCTTATATAGTCGGTTGAAAGATCGCCCAGTTTTTTCACAACTGAGAATTTTCGAGTTTTCTTAATTTCGGCTTCAACTAATAGAACTTCTCGAAGAATTTTTTTAGGATCTTTGCCCTAAATATTCGATTTACAGCCTCAGATTTAACCCTTTTGCTGCTGATTCTTCAATTCCTGAAAAATCTATTTATTGAAGTTTGTCCTGTAGCTTCAAGAATCCAGCGCTTCTAGACTTGTTTCTTCGTAGAAGTCTTTGTTCACAGTTTTTCGGCCATTTTTTCATAAGCTCCGATGTAAAACTGACCGGATTCTCTTGTAATTTTTTAATGATCTTTTACCTAAAAACTAGGATCTACAGCCGAAGTACTAGCTGTTTCTCTGGTATTTTTTCACTTTGTGCTACAGATTTACCGGTGCCTTAGAAATCTATGAGTGCTCGTTTTCAGCTTCAAGAATCCTGTGTTTCTGGACTTATTCATTGGAAAAAGTTGTTATTCACCATGTTTTTTTTGTATCCGAGTGGTTTCGAATCAGATTCATATCGGTCCTGATGTTTCTTAAATACTTAGTCAAAATTCTAGGTAGAACATTTTGATTAAAAGCTCTAGAACTTTAGAAACCAATCTTGCTCTCCGCTTCTCGCTATTAATGTTGCGGGCCCTAATGAATTGTGCCACACCCAAGGTTCTCTGTCGTCGGCTAATGGACCATTGAGTAGCAGCCAATGAGTCTTTCTTTCTCCATTTATTACCAACTAATCCCACTTGTCCTGACCTGTGTGCGATTAGAGAAACACCTGCTGCGGTAAATCTGTGTTCGTGGTGTCAGTCCTTTTGTTCTCGAGATGTTATCGGTCATGTTAACCTAAGTGGTGGCACCTCCATTTACCTCCATAAGAGCATCGTAGTTAGCCCAGTCCCTTGTTTTTTTTTGCCAGAGTTGGTCGATTCCGTGAGCGGAGAGGTATAGACAATTAGGATTTTTTCTGCAGAAACTTGCCCTAGGTAACGAATATCCAAATCGAATTGACGAATCCCGAAAAATCCTGTTTTTTCTCTCCCCTGTTCCCCATAGTACCAAGCTTAGGTATCTCTATTTTCCGTCGTTGCGAGACCTTTCTAGAACGTTTTCTTCGATAGTCGGACCAACCAAACCGTTGCGAGACCAATCTAATTGTCCCGCCCCCTCCCCCACTCGTCTCTATTCAAATTATAAGAGGAGCCGAGCCCCGCACACGCGCGCCTCGTTCTTTTCTCTCTCATCGACGACTTCTTGTGAGCAAAG